TAACATCAAGATTTTAGACTCGGAGCAGGAGAACACATCCAAAAAGCAATCTGACAGGCATTCCTCTAGTCAGAATTATAACTCAAACTGGCTGCATAACTGTTTTAAAATTGGTTCTGTTGTTCCTGTGGAAGATGTTTCAGGTAAACATTTGGTTGATAATGCTAGAGATCTTGTTTCTGCTAGATCATATGATTCAAGGTCACCAGATGAAAGTCTCAAGGCTTCAACTTCTGGAAAAGTTCATCATGCACCCCACTTGTTCTTTCATGTAGAGAACATATCTGAGGATGGGACGATCGATAATTTGAATTCAGGGGATAATGGAACAGAAAGAGTGTCTTCAAGCAGATCTTCAGCCCCTAATGAGGAAATGAAACATGAAATTAAGACATCAAGTAGTACATCCTGTTTTAGAAAACCCACTTTTTCTGTGGCTGCTGGATCCATCCATGAATCATCATCATCAAGTTGGAATTCCTATCTGTCAGAAGATTCAAGCCTTGGGGATTGCTCAACTAATGGAAATTTAAGTCATGCAAGTCCCAAATCTAGTAAATTGTCAGATCTCATTGGTGATTATCGTCTGTACTTTAGCAATCTTCAACATGCTCAGGAGTTCCAGGAATGCATAGTGAGCTCATATCTAGTCCCAGTCTACCGAACATCTCCTTCCCAGTTTCAGAGCAAACACACCTGGAACATGCGAAACATGTACTCGCATCTAGGTTCAAATGGACTTGGTCCTGCACCACCATTTTCTCCAAGTTATTATTTAATCCCACCTGTGATTTCTAATGATTATGGTACCAAAGATATCACAAAAACAAGGGGAACTGGCACGTACCTTCCCAACACGGTATATTGCATTTATGCTACTACTTTGGCGTGATTCTGTATGTTTTTGATATGATTAAAAATTAGTCAATTTGGACAAAATCTTCATTTGTTCAGATTTTCTTTTTCAATGTTGCTTTGTTATGTTTTATTGTAATCCAATCCAGATCTATTAGTAAATATTTCTTAAAGTTGGGATTATACTTAAAAATTGTTCACTTGTGGTATAGTTAGGTTTTTTATCATCCTCAGCCACAAGATATGGATCATTTTAAGGGAACAAACTTTTATGGAATTACGGCTGGCATAATCTATATCTGTGGAGGCGCTCACTACTTAAAAATTTATTTGATATGCAGAATTCTCGTTCGTACAGAGATAGACAACCATCAGGAAGGGGCAAGAATCAAATGCTTACAGATCACTCTCCAAGATACCACAGACATGGTCACATGGACACACCAGATTATGGGGGTTCATCAGAGGAAAGGAATCAGTGGTCATCTCCACGTTCACAAGCTCCAGCTTTTGTGGTAAATGGTCATGAAAAGCCAATTCCATCGGATGTTCCTCAGTCCACACGCCCTGCTTTTGTGGTGGTTTCCCGTGGCAATCCACCAGAGGGAAAACTCGAATTTGGGTCTCTTGGTCCTGTTACTGTGGGAGTTCCCTCTCCAGGACAAGGTAGCAATTTTGAGTCAGTCAATCCTGTCGGTCGGGGCTTAGGGTCAGTGATTCCTGAATCAACGGTTGAAAGACCCTATAAGAGCTTGAACCATGCAAGGTAATAAACATTTCCTGGAATTTCTATTATTAAATGTAGCAGAGTTTGGTATCCATAGTTTTGCATAGTTTTTTCTTAGACGTGAATTCAACATATGCCTATCAGAACTGACTATCATGAAAGAGTATGCAGTATGTTGACTAACGGATGCTAGATCCGGCCTTTTTGTTTGCATAAATAAATAATTTCAGCTGAAGCAAACTAGTATTTATTACGTCAGGAATATTCCAACTTTTTTTCTGGATAATTACAACTTTTTTTGTCTTAAGCTTCTAGCTAAAGTTTTGTTGCTGTTATTTGCAGCACTTATGGTACTATAAAAATATATAATCCGTGTTCGAGTAACCATATTTTATATTGGTTTCCTGATGAAATTAGTATTTAATTGGGACCAGATTGAGTCTTACTTTATCGATCTTTTAATTGTCAGGATTTAGATGTGTTGCTTTTTATATTTCTGGAGTCATGGTGACTTGTAGAAGATCTGTATTACTGAGGATTGGTTGTTTTTCAGGTTTTATTGAATTTGAGGTCTTTTTTGTGCTGTCTTATACTCTTATTCGGGATGCTGGGCTACCAGTAGGAGATAGTTCTAAAACATGAGGGAATAAGCTTTAATTTGAAGAGCTCTGACATAGCATAAAAGGCACAGGATTAAGCGTCTGCCTTAACTCTTTTTTTTGAAGGAGTAGGAGCTATCCAAATTCATTTAGGTCCAGAAAAGATGGAAAAATAGAGGAGAAAATAATTCTGATAAGGAAACAAATAAGAGAACCAAGATTCAGCTTGCTTATCTCAACCAAACCTTAGCTTAATATATTTGTCTTCCTTTTTCCTAAGCCATTAATGAAAATACACTTGAATAGTTTTCATTAGGGTTGTTTGACAGTCCTTGAGGGAGCAACCTTGAAAATGTAATATTGGATCTAGAAAATTTAGAAAACGGTGAAGCTTAAAAGCTGTCATCGTCTAGGAATTGTATTATTGAATCTATGCATTATTCAAGAGAGCAAACTTGGCAGAAAATCTATTAGATATAAATTTAACTATTATCTGCAGAAGGTAGATTTGGCTGATCGCAGAGGAAGTAGCATAAGAGGACATTAATAAACTTCAATATTATTGATAATCTCAGTTTATGCTGCAAATGTATTGAATCTGCACTTGTAAGTAAGTCAGTTATAGCGCGTAGATTGCTGAGTATAGGGTTTAAGATCACATTCGGCAGTACAAACTTCTTCACTTACTTGATTGGGGAAAAGATCCCTGACAAGTTACATACCCGTTTGATAACCTTAAGAATGCACAATGAATGAAATGTGCAGGCTAAGCCAACCATATCAGCTCAAAGATGAAGGTGATTTCCCTCCACTAGCAGGATGAAGGCCATGGACTACATTCTCGTACATCAAGTAGAAAGCAGATATGGGAAGACTTGAACATCAAATGCTAACTATGTGGAGCAGTTGCTTGAGCAGCAGTTCTAAGGTGTAAATAGTAATGTGTTTTTTGTGTTAGGGTGGTGAATTAGCATACTGTACATCCTAATTGTCTTTTTAAAATCGGTATCTCACACCACATTATGGTGGATTTTGATCAGGTCGTGATTTATTCCCCTCTTTCAATCTATATAGTTTGCGCCTTTGCAATGCTTTAAAGTGATACGGTCATTGGTTTGTTAGAAAGCGATGCGGCAATTGGGGAATCGATGCCATGAGTAGCTGTTATTTTATTATAGGTATGAAACTGTTCCAGGTGCTTTTTGTTTTTAATTTGTTCATCATGTTCTTCAGCATAACTTTTCCAAATTTCTGATTTCATCTAAGGTGCACATAAGACATGTTGGATGCTGTATAGTTGCCTTTAGAATCTCCAAACTTGAAAGACATTTGTTATCCATTGAACACTGAAAGATTTCTTCTGAATCCCAGCATTCATTGACATTCGTTGTCTATTGACATTCGTTGACTATATAGTAATGTATATAGTAGTTTGCCTTTGCATTTCCATCACCTTGAGAGATCTTTTTCTTGGATGCGAAGGAGGCATCACAGGCTTTATTATTTTGATTCTCCAAATTGATTATTTGGGGTCTGTTCTTAATCTTTATATATTTGTGTCAACCCATTGCGGTGACCTATCTATCTATCTTTTTGTTGTTGTTGTTGTTGTTGTGTTTTTCCAAGTTAAACTTGTTTAATTATATCGAATGATTACAAAAAAAATACTCAAAAGTCAACCGTGATTCATTCCTTTCTCAAAAAAAAAAAGAAGATTAACTTGTTATATCTCTCGATTTAAAAAAAAATTATATTTTATAGAGAGATTTTTTTTAATTATATTTTAAAAAAATTATTAACAGTTGACATAAAGTTATTAGGTGTCATTCGATTCTATGTCAAAAAGCAAGAAACACAAGCTTCTTTTTCTTTGTGATAAGTATGAAAATCTTAAATTCGTCTCTTCTTTTATGATAAATAAGATAATCTTAAATTTCATTCTCTTTCTTTGTGATAAGAAAGGATATTATAAATTTTTTGTGTAGGTGACACCTTGGGAGCATAATATTTCTACCTCGGGAGCGTAATACTTCCACATCGAGAGCGTAATACTTTCGTCTCAATAGTTCGATACTATCTCGGAGCCATCTTGGAGTTACCTCAAACTCACCTCAGATCCATCTTAAAGCCACCTTGGAGTCGTTTCGAACAATCATGTGTATACGGATTCAGATCACGTCATACTAACCAATGATATTTTTTCCTAATATTATCCAACAAAGTGCCATTAGTAATTTTGGCCCTATCAAAAGTCAAGATTAAACCTACAACTAAGTGAAAAATATTAGACATAGAATTTAGTAAATGGTCCGAAATTTAGTAATACGTAGTAATAAAAGTGTCCAAATATTAAAAAAAATAAGTGATCTTCTTATTAAAAAAATATATATATATATATATATATAGATCTTCCATTGATATGCTTAGAAAACAAGATATGCGATTTAACAGCATTGATCAGACTCATTAAAGATTCAAAACATGCTGAATGACATGGCAGAGACCTATCTTTTAATACTTGGGAGAGCAGCTGAGGGTTACACACCACCTCATGTTTCACAGCAGCATTAGTGCCATCTTAAATCATCTCATCACATTCTACACACCACAAGCAGATTAATCAGACTCTATCGATTACTATACATTCAATTATCTATGCGTTCAAATTATTCCAAACCCAACACAAAATATATATACCTTCATTCTATTACATTATCCTCGACACGATAAGTTTGACTTCATTCTATCCACTTAAAATGGCTACAACCTCGCCATGTCCGCGGGCCACCACCGGCGTTGCCGTCTTCCACCCTCCTCCTCTCACCACCATACTCCCCCATCTTCTCCAATGTACCGTTGACTCTTCCCACATCATACATCTCCTTCCACCGTTGGGAGTCAGTCATTCGCCTTATCGATGGCTAAAGTCAAAACCGTAGCCACGGATTCTTCAACGTCGGAGGCCCACAACATACTGTATCAGCGGCATTCGAGACCGGCTACCAAAAGGATCTCCAGTCATTACTAACCCGCCACATGCGTAGAGCCTTGCTAGAAAATTCTTGATGCCCTTTGTCCATCCCCATCCATCCCTTACTCTTGTGAGGATAGCGTCAATGATCGGGAGTGGAGCCTGCCTACACTCCCTGCGTGCCGCGGCAGTCGCCCTTATGGCCTTCAACATTACGCTCAGTGTCGACGACGACGCCGGGCTCCTGCGCCGCCTCCTCTTCCTCGTCTTCCCCTATGAGAACCACAGACGGACGGTCACCGGAGCTCATCCTTCTTTCTTCTCTTGCTAGCTGAGGTGCAACGCCACCTTCTTTCGCCAGACCGTCGTCGCCCGGCATGATCGAGACACGGCACCGGAGTCGCGCCGGCAGGTCTCTCGACGTGTTCCGTGGCTACGTGGAGACCGATCCCACCGGTCGTTATGGACGTGTAAGCTCTCTTGATCCGTGAAACCCATATCATCTGTTACAGTTCAGTCGGTGTCCACCGGCGGTGGTGCTGCAGACGATGACACGCACGTTCTACCGCGCGGTGAGACATCTGACAAACGATTCTTGTTCTTTCTTCGGGTCGGTCATCCATACGGATGCCCACGCAAACCGTGTGCCATCCATCACGATGGTTTGCGCTCGTCTAAGCCATGCGAATCATGCTATTATAATTATCAGAGACCACTGCGCGTATGTGCAAAGAAATCAAGAACTCAGGATAGCCAAATAGGGGTGAATGATAACGTTGAAGAAGAGAGTGGGCAGAGTATGAGAAAGGATGTGATCCATAGTAGAATAATCTGAGGAGTTGATGTAGATGACCACCACAATTATTGGTGCTAAAATTCCTTCCCTGTTGTCTACAATGGAGATTCCTTGTGAAGACATGAGCACCATGAAAATGCATGGAGATGCCTTCAGCACCAATAAAGCATTGCCTTTCGGCGGTCAGAAATCTACAGCTTGTTGCTCCCAAGTGTGAATGAGCATCATGTCAACCTTTCTTGCAACCCCACCTTCATTTCGCGACAACATATCGTAGCATTTTTCTCTACGTATAGACAACAAGAAATTGTCTGATGCAGAGTATAATTCTGTTCGGTATACAGAATCCTCACATTCTGCTGTTTGATCTGCAATGGCAGTTCGATGAAGTGCTTGGTAGAGGAGCCATGAAGACAGTGTATCCTCCAAAAGATTTCGCTGTTTAGATTATGACCTCCCAAATCGTTTTGCCTGAGACCGTCCGACATGAGTTCCTTAACGAAGGACTTCAGATACAAGGCGTTCGATGAGCTAAATGGTACCGAGGTAGCATGGAACCAAGCTAAGCTGTGCAGCATGCTGCGATCGCCGGAAGCGCTACAGCGGATGTACTCGGAGGTCCACCTCCTCAGCTCCCTCCACCATGAGTCCATCATCAGATTCCACGCATCATGGATCGACGTCGAGAACAGGACCTTCAACTTCATCACTGAGATGTTTGCTTCCGGTACCCTCCGAGAGTATGTTCCATTAGCTTTATCTTCGAGTGCTTAACTCCTGCTTTATCATCAATGGTCTGAAGTATGAGATTATCTCACTGATCATGTAAATGGCACATCTTAGGTATCGGCGGAGGTATCCGCATGTGAACATCGGAGCCATCAAGAGCTGGGCTCGACAAATCCTGCACGGTCTCGCATACCTGCACCGTCACGATCCGCCGGTGATACACAGGGACATCAAGTGTGACAACATTTTGATCAATGGCCATCTCGGGCACGTCAAGATCAGTGATTTTGGACTGGCAGCCATCCTCCGGGGCTCACAACACACTGTTATAGGTGATCGATCCTTTTTGATGCTACTTAGAAAGTCTTTATTTGATCTGTAATTATATCGGATTCAAAAACCATCGATCTGTAAGGAAAACTAGACTAATGCATCGTATGCTTATTTGATCGTTCGTAGTTGTGTATTGGGCAGCGATCGACTAGTTTTGATTTAGAATCGGTAGAGGAAGTTAGAATTGGTGTCGATATAAATGTCAAATCAGATATGGATGTTCTCCTTAGTGCTTACAGAGTCGTTCATCTGTTTTACTAGCAGATTAGACTTGGCACACTCACTGAAGCAGTAGAATGGACTCGCTAATGGTTGCTCCTTTGTAGGAGGTAGGCTTTGACACTTGACTCTGTGCTGCAATTCTTGGTTGCAGGGACACCAGAGTTCATGGCACCAGAGATTTACGAAGAAGAGTACAATGAGCTTGTAGATATCTACTCCTTCGGTATGTGCGTGCTCGAGATGCTTACTTCGGAATACCCCTACAGCGAGTGCTACAATCCAGCTCAAATCTACAAGAAAGTTACTTCGGTAAGAGTTCTAATTGCAGGCTGTCTTCGGTTCAATCTTCGCACTGAAATCTTGATCTGGATTGTGTTCTTCCTTCCCAGGGACGGCTGCCTGATGCATTCTATCGCATCCAAGATCCCGAGGCCAAGCGATTCGTCGGTAGATGTCTGGAAGATGTATCAAAGAGACCGTCGGCAGAGGAACTTCTTCTTGATCCTTTTCTCGCATTAGGTGATCACACTGTTCCTGCTGATGCAGTTACTGGGATCAGATCGCAAGACCAAGATGGCTTGCACTCGATGGAGTTTCACGATGCTAATAGCACGGTGTGGAGAACCGACATGACCATCACAGGGAAGATGAACCCGGAGGACGATACGATCTTCCTCAGAGTTCAAATTGCCGACGCAGAAGGTATGGAACTTCCACCATACACAAGGAAGACCGTAGCAGGACATTAGACTTCGATGTTGTTTTCTATCATGCTGATCAGGACATGTGAGGAACATTCACTTCCCCTTCGACATCGTTTGCGATACGCCGATCGATGTGGCGAACGAGATGGTGAAGGAGCTGGAGATAACGGATCGAGAGCCATCGGAGATAGCAGAAATGATAGCTCAGGAGACCACGGCTCTGGTACCGGATTGGAAGGCGACGAGTGCACCCAACTCTGTCTTTCGTGTCTACAACTACGAAGATGATGCCGAGGACGGTTGCAATCACCCCTTCTACAACCTCTCCTCCTCTGCTTCCTCCCAAGGATCAGTCTTCGGAACAGGGCATCGCCTGGGTATGCTCGATCAGCAGCAGCATCCTCACCAGGAAGAGTGGTTTCAAGGTGCACTTCTTCCATTTTCTAGACTACTGATTTGATGTCATTGCCTCGTCTCAGTTCTGTTGAATTCGCCTCTGTGCAGGTGACCCGCATTCCGATGAAGATGCCGTGAGCTACACGCAGTCAGGCAGGTATTCCGCCATGAACTACTACTCCTCGAGAGACGAGCAAGAAAGCAAAGTGAGCTTCCACGGCAGCCACAAGTCGACAAAGCTCGGAGAAGATGCCGCATTGGCCGATGAGTTTTGCAAGCAGTGCAACATATTGCCGGAGCGCTCGAGGAAGCCGGTCGGTGGCCAGCGGCTGACGAGGAACCGATCGATGGTGGACATGCGAAGTCAGCTGCTGCATCGGAATCTGGTGGAGCAGCTGAAGAAGCGCCTGTTCAAGACCGTAGGAGCAGTCGAGAACATCGGGTTTCAAACGCCCTGTGATGGCCCTCACAAGCCTTCCTCGTCCTCTCCAGCCGATCGCAGGAAGCAGAGGGCAACAAGCCCATGCATGAACTGATGGTTGATTCGAATCGCCTTCGATCTGCGACTCTGAAGAAGGCTTGATCTTTTGGCGATCCAGTGCTTGTCACGACTCACAGGAGCTTTGACCTGTACTGTTCACCCGATCGACCATAGCCATGGAACGTAGAAGAGAATTCCCATGGAACAGGGGCGATCCATCCATGGATTTCAATTATTCTTGGACGGAAGATGGCTGATGCAATGGAAGAGAACGCACATTCTTCGGTTGTAATCGTCCAGTCTTCTTTCCATGCCATGTCTCATCAAATCCAAGGAATTGTAGTGGGATCATTATATTATGATTTCAAAAGGCCAAGTCAATATTGGCTGCTGCATTCACAGCCTTTTCGTAGTGGTTTCGTCACTGAAAGCATTCAGCCAAAAAGCTGCAGTTGGGTCTCTTCCAATTCCTCTCTTCTTCTCTCCCCATGTCTCGTGACAGTCATTTGTGACATTCGCTTATTGGAAGTAAGAGATGAACAAAGACTAACACAAGATATCCTATCCATCATTCCTGTCAAATCTCCTACTTAACTCCCCACCATGATCATTGCCACATCTTTCATGATTGACTGAGAAGTCTTCTTTGGGTGCTTTCTCTGGATGCCCAAACACCGCTCCATATCACCTCCACACGAAAAGCTTGTGGATGGTGCTTCCTAGTTGGTTGCTCATCTCAACTGGAAAGAAGAAGATAGGAAGATGAGATGAGACACTAATTGAATGGGCTCCCATCATCGACATGGCTCGTCTTCCAGTTTCGCACGTTAGGCGGCTGAGGCTTGTCGGCTCTCGGCGGCTATCACGCGTTCTAGAATCGCCATAGCTTTCCACTCGACACTGCAACTCCACATGGTCTGCCGTCCCACGAATCCAAATCTCTCTCTCTTTCTCTCCCTGCACATGGTTAGACACCAACCCCCTTGCTTTCACTTTCTCCCCTTCCGAGCAATGGCAATTTGGGCAGATGAGGAACAGTAAAGAGGTAATAATGATCAAGATTCCTTTTTTATTTCCGAGGAAAAGGCAGAAGGATGAGAGGAGACACACAGCATTATCCTCGTTATATTATCCCTGCAGAGGAGCTCTCAATCGCGGGACCGGCTGTTGCTTTCATTGATCACACCGTCCAACGCTTGGAAGGCTCCACCATCTTCGTACTTACTACTATTCCATGTCTTCTTCCTCTTCCACCACTCGGATGACTGTGGAGGGTGGGCCGCTGAGGTACTTGGGCATGTGAGTGGTTCCTATTTAACGACCGGTGGAGTCAAGAATGGTTCGAGCCCTCCCGTAGGTATGTTCTTCTCTTTGTTCTAGTTTCAGAGACTATCTTAGACCAGATCTCTGGTCTCGCAGAGATGCATGGTAGAATCTTCTTGTGTATCTCTGGTAATGCTAACCGATCCATGTTTCCAACGCAGGCCTACATGCAGGAGACTCGGTGAGCAACTCCAAGACTCGTGATGGATCCCGAAGCCGGACAGAGTCCTAATGCCCTAAAGGTAACATCGTGTTCACCGGAGATCCATCCCTTTGATTTCGTTTCCCCCCAATCTTTTCTAAGTGCTCAATCATCTGCAGAAGAATTCCTGGAAGGCCACTTTGCTTTTGGCATACCAAAGCCTAGGCGTGGTATACGGTGACCTGAGCATTTCACCTTTGTATGTGTACAAGAGCACGTTTGCTGAGGACATAAAGCATTCCGAAAGTAACGAAGAGATCTTTGGTGTGCTGTCCTTTGTGTTCTGGACTCTTACTCTCGTCCCACTTTTCAAGTATGTGTTCATAGTTCTTAGAGCTGATGACAATGGTCAAGGTGAATATAGCGATGACCGAGCTTGATTTTTGGGACCGAACATGTATTCCTTCGGGTTATGATCTGTCTTCCTTGTGAACTCGCAGGTGGTACTTTTGCTCTGTATTCTTTGATTTGTAGAAATGTAAATGTCAGTCTCCTGCCGAACAGACAGGCGGCCGACGAAGAACTATCGACATACAGATATGAAAGCCACCCGGAAAGCAGCTACAAGCCGAGTATCAAAACTTGGATTGAGAAACACAAGAATTTACATGTTGTTCTCTTGATAGTAGTCATGCTCGGTACTTGTATGGTCATTGGAGATGGAGTGCTCACTCCGGCCATATCAGGTGGGCTTGCTTTCCTCTCTTGAAATTGAGAGTTGGTAATGTAAATATACCCTTTTGTGTTCGTATATTGAGTTCCATTTTTCTTCATACTTTCTTAAAAGTCTTATTCCTCTGTTGTTGTTGTTGTTGTTGTTGTTGTTGATGCAGTGTTTTCGGCGGTTTCAGGGCTTGAATTGTCTCTGTCCAAGACTCACCATGAATGTAAGGTCCCAATCTTGCTTGGTCAAATCCATTTCTTATTAAACTAAAGGCTTGTATTATTGAACTTTTACTATAGCTGTTTTTATAGGATGTAATACTGAAAGAACGGTTCTGCAAGTCCGGAATGACTTGATCTCTCAATATCAAATTATTTTTTTTTTGTATTCCTACTCATGGTACAAGAGCATCTAGACAGTAATAAATCAATCCGCTTTTCTCGGTGATCTTCGTCCCCGATTGCAATATAACGCGAGCTTTCGGTTATTGATAAGCTAGGAATTCTTGTTCCATAGATCATCGTCTTACAGGGATTTGTTCACTCCAAAGTATTTGCTGTCTGAAAATATTGTTGATATGTCCCACAATTTCCATCACCAACTGACCAGTGTTCTGCTTCTGTAGATGCCGTGGTTCCTATTACTTGCTTCTTGATAGTGTGCTTGTTTGCGCTTCAACATTATGGCACTCATCGGGTTGGATTCTTATTTGCACCAATTATCGTCACTTGGCTACTCTGTATCAGTGGACTCGGCATATACAACATCGTCAAATGGAATCCCCTTATTTATCAAGCGTTGTCGCCGTATTACATGTTGAAGTTCTTGAGGAAGACAAGGAAGGCTGGTTGGATGTCCTTGGGAGGAATTCTACTATGCATGACAGGTAACTGTCGAAGTGGATCACAATGGATTATAGTTTATAGCTCGTCAATAAGCCAGATGAACAACATAAATTAAAGTCATTTGAGGCTTATCCTGTGATGTCCGAAAGGTTAATAGAGTTCTATAGCTGCTTAAATTGGTTATTTAGGTAATCGATACGGATAGGTCCTTTTTTCATGAAAATTTTCACTATCTATAAAGGTCTTGTTTATTATTTTCTACGTCGACAACATATGATGATTAATGTTATCTATCGTCACTGCAGGGTCAGAGGCAATGTTTGCGGATTTAGGTCACTTCTCATATAGAGCAATTCAGGTTAATGTTTATGCCGTAAATGATTGCTTATGTTTGAACTGTCAAGATTCTCACCCTTGGTGTATTTGGTTAATGCAGATTGCTTTCACTTCGTGCGTTTATCCTGCTTTAGTTTTGGCATACATGGGACAAGCAGCTTACTTGTCCAAACATCATATTATCAGCAACAGTTACCAGATCGGTTTTTACGTCTATGTTCCAGGTGCCTTCTCTTTCTTCCCCAGCCACAAGGTCTCAATTAGTATGAGTTTTCCAAGACTGTTCTAAGGCCCCGACAATTTCATACATCAGCAGTAGCAGAATATTTTGTGAATTATTGATCGGTAGAGCTTCTTTTTCTTGCGCAGAAAGTGTTAGATGGCCTGTGCTTGTGATAGCAATACTAGCTTCTGTTGTGGGGAGTCAAGCAATCATTAGCGGAACATTCTCTATAGTGAGCCAAAGCCAATCTCTCGGTTGCTTCCCAAGGGTCAAGGTAGTTCACACCTCCAACAAGGTTCATGGCCAGATCTATATTCCGGAGGTGAACTGGGCACTCATGATCCTCTGTGTCGCTGTTGCCCTCGGCTTCAGAGACACAAAACATATGGGCAATGCATCAGGTTTACATTTTTCTGTCAACCCTCCTGAGCGCATTACTAGTATTTTGCACTCAACACTTTTCATAGTGTCACTCTTTTGTATATGTGAAAATACATGATGAGAAATAGTACGATTATCTAAATGGAGTCTGCATTCATGTCGTTTTAAGATTGCAATCCTGCTTTCTAGAAAATATTCTGCTGTACTATGGTTCTCATCATTTTTTATGAAACCAATCTCTGAAATGGCACACGACATTGTTCACATATATTTCTTGGCACACTCATTTTTCGGCTTGCTTTCATCTGTTTATTTATATTCTGCAACCATCAGTATGTTTCAATGTCATTGACTGATCCTCTTTCTTTTCCTGTGCAGGCTTGGCAGTAATTACGGTGATGTTGGTTACCACTTGCCTCACGTCCTTGGTCATGATCTTATGTTGGCACAATTCCCCTCTTCTGGCACTTGCATTTTTCGTCATCTTTGGATCGATCGAGGCCTTGTTTTTCTCTTCCTCACTCATGAAGTTCCTTGACGGTGCTTGGCTGCCCATCCTTCTCGCGCTCATCCTAATGGCCATCATGTTCGTGTGGCATTATGCGACAATAAAAAAATACGAGTTTGATTTGCAGAACAAGCTTTCCCTCGACTGGCTTCTCGCCCTCGGCAACTCTCTTGGCATTTCCCGCGTCCCAGGCATTGGCCTTGTCTACACTGACCTCGTATCGGGTGTGCCAGCAAATTTCTCTCACTTTGTGACGAACCTTCCAGCGTTCCACCAAATCTTAGTCTTTGTCTGCATAAAATATGTTCCTGTTCCTTTCATTCCTGCTTCAGAAAGGTACCTTGTCGGCCGTGTGGGACCTCCAGAATTCCGATCCTACCGGTGCATCGTGCGGTATGGCTACCGTGATGTCCACCAGGATGTCAACTCTTTTGAGTCAGAGCTCATTACCAGTCTGGCTGATTTCATTCATGCTGAAGCATTACACAATTGCGACCCGTCTAATGATGAGGCTGAGGGTGGATTTACTGTTGTTGGAAGCTCTCCATATAATTCGTCTACCAAATTGAACTTACGGGATGCAAACATGACGGTGCAGATATCAGATGAGAGGAATTCCGAAGGGAAGGAGGCCATGGGTAAAGCGAAAAGGGTGAGGTTCCTTGTGGAGGAGAGTGAAAGCTCAACCGAAGGTGTCATCGACGAAGAGCTGCAGGAGCTACTTGTGGCCCAAGAGTCCGGTACTGCATTCATATTGGGGCATTCGCACATCCGATCAAAGCCGGGATCCTCCATGATAAAGAAGGTAGCAATAGACCTTGTTTACAATTTTCTCCGACGGAATTGCCGGGGACCAGACGTGGCACTTAGACTGCCGCCAGAGTCGCTCCTTGAAGTTGGCATGGTGTATCTCCTGTAAGCTGAAAACAAGAGTGTGCTGCAGTCTATATGGAAATTATACACTTAGACTAATTTGGCTACTAAAGTTTTCGAAATTATACTATATGGAAATGATGCAATCTTTCATTATTGGAGTGGTAAATGGTTTTGGAGCACCATTATGAATCATCAAGTTTATGCAGGTCTTCTGAGGTTTACAAACTGAATCATATTGCATGAATGAGGATTATGAAGTGCTGCAAGTTTCTGACTCTTTCCTGTCAAAGGTAATGCACAAAGGAACAGAATGCTTGCATTATATATATATATATATATATATATATATATATATATATATATATATATATATATATATATATTGGAAAGGCGTTTGCCATTTCGAGAACTCTCTTTTTTATTCGATCTCCAAACAAATCAAATCTGTAAACTCGTACGAGTAAAAATTGGCAATATTAAGACTTGGAAATTAAAGCAAAGAATCACTCAATTATGCACAATTGAGGAGAAAGAATGATGTCCGTCCGATCCTGAGCGGCGCGCGATAACTACACTTAACGGATCTTGCTGCGTGTGTATGTATACTGTCATCGTTGACTTCTGATCATGATGCAACTGTAGTAGAGGACGTCGTGACGCTCATCGCCGAGAATCTGGCCGTGCGTTCCGCCTCCACGGCAGCCGCCCACCGCCGGCAGATCCGACTCAGCGACGCCGCCTTCCGCCTCGCCCGCTCCGTCCCCGCCCCCATCAGCTCCCAGATCACCCACTCGATCCCCGGCATGGCCGCCAGCTCCGCCACCACCCCCGACTCCGACCGCCGGCACACCGCCACCAGAGCCGCCGCTGCGCTCTCCCTCGCCCAGTCCGACCCCCGCCGTAGCAACCCGACCAGCCGCGCAACCGCCCCCTCCGCCTTCGCCACGGCCTCCGCTCCGCCCCTCCTCGCCACTGCCGCCAGCACCGCTGCCGCCTCCTCCGCGACCTCCGGCTCTCCCACGGCTTCCAGTGCCGCCCCCACCACCCCCCCCTCCACCAGCCGCCCGGTATTTTCCCGGTCCCCGGCGAGGCTATGGATGGCTGCCATGGCGTCCTTCTTTGAGCTGGCGGGGCCGTGGCGCGCCATCTGCAGCAGCACCTCCACCACCCGGGGGTGTCGTGCGAGTCGCCGGCGGTAGGAGTGGATGGAGGAGAGGCTGAGCACGGTGGCGGCAGCGTTCTCCTTCGCCCGCCACTTGGCGCCCTCTGCCAGGACGTGGACGATCCCGTCGACGGCGCCATCCGCGTGCATGATGAGCCGCTTGTTGGCCTCCAGGATCGAAAGGTTGAGCAGCGCAGTCACCGCGCTGACCTGGAGCCCAGCGTCGTCCGATCGGAGCAGCGGGAGGAGGAGGGGAATCGCACCGGCCTCCGCTACGAATGCGCGGTTGTCGGAGCCGTGCTTGGCCAGCAGTCGGAGTTCGTGGACCACCCGGTGCGCGGCATCCGTACACGGCGCCGCCGCGAGCTCCTCCACGAGGAAGGACGCAGTCATTCTTGCCGCCTCGAGCGCAGCCTTGTTAGCCGCTGCTGTCGTGGCGTTGTCGGCATCGGCTTGCTCGTTGCTGGTGACGTCGGCTCCGTCGAAGGGAAGGTTGTTGTCGCGGCACCAGCAGCAGATGAGGTTCTTGAGGGCGCGATTGGGGACGAGCTCGAGGTGGGCGAGGGCTTGGCCGGACTTGGGGCAGGTGGCATGGCCGGAGCCGATCCATCGAACGATGGAGTCCCTATCGTACGTCTGTCCGGTGGCCACCACCATCGGATCCCGCATGAGGTCCAGCGATATCGGGCACCGGAAGTCTGCCGGCACCGCGAGGTCCTCCGCCTCGGAGAAGGGCGATTTCTTGCCGTCGGCACCGGCGGAGGTGTCCAATCTGGGAGTTGATGCCCCGAACAGGACGTACCTAGCGTATCGTAGGATCGACGCGAGGGCCACCATGGCCGGCACCCATCTGTCGGCGGCGGCGCCGTCGGCGATGTCGCGCTCGAGGCTGTCGATCTCGTGGCGGCAGTTCCATGAATCATCGATGCCGAGCCGCCGGAAGATCCCCTGCAGCGCGGCATGGTCGGGTACCGTCCCGCTCTCGACGAGTGCGATGAGCTCGAGAATATCTCGGCGGAGGGAGAGGGCAGCGGGATCGACGGCGGGGGAGGAACGTCGGAGCTGGCGGAGGAGGAGGCGGACGTGGTCCCTCACGTCCTCAGGAATCCGAAGCTCCGCCACAGGCAGGATGTCAAGGAAGGTGGCGAGGTCGACAACTTGCTCGTGGATCTCAGCGGCAAGGGGCTCGGCCCGGAAGAGGACGAAAGCGCGGCTGCGGGCGGAGCAATGGTCAAAATGGGCCTTGAGGCGGTGGAGAACGAGAAGAATCTCGCGGAAGCAAAGCGAAGCCAATCGCGGGAGGGCAAAGTCAACGCAGCGGTCGTCGTCATCTCGGACGGCGAGGAGTAGCTCCTCGAAGAGGAGGGAGAGCTGCTTAACGTTGCGGGGGACGGAGGAGAAGTTGGGATTAACACGAAGGGGGGACGACGACGGCGAAGGTTGTTGGTGGGAGGAGACGTCACGGGAGAGGAAGAGGAGGTGGCGGAGGAGGTCGGCGTCGGTGGACGGGTCGGGTGGCGGAGGAGGGGAGGAGGAGGAGGTGGCCATGGAAGAAGCTGTCGTGTCCTCGATTCAAGCGTCGGGAGTCGTAACAGGAAAGGAAGGGGAGTTCGAGGGGTCTATATGGTGGTGGTGGTCGTCCGCTGCTGGTGCTGTGCAGTTATGTCGGCCGGAATTGCGTGGAAAGCAAGAGGATGTATGAGCTGGGGAGGAACAAGTGCGGTCGCCGCCCTCGTTACTTTTTCCCTGTGTTTCCTTGCTGGATTTGTTTTATAGTTGGAGGATGGATGTGACAACCGTGCTCCATGAGAGAACGGCGAAGGTGGTGGCGGTCAAAGATGGTAGTAATCTAATACCAGTATGCGTGTTGGACAAGTCCACGCCCAATCTTTACGTTGATCTTTTCCCCAACAAAATTATTATTATTATTATTTTTTCTTCTCTCAATTGGTCGATAACCGTAGAACACTTGATGACGACAGTAAATGTCAACCGCCCACGTTGGTTATCGCCGGGGATTGTTGGTCAAACGAGAACACGAGGCGTGACGTCACCTTGTTACCACTGGCACGTGTTCAATGAGAGGCCACGTCAAGGCCGGCTCGCGCTTCCGGACGTGGACATGCCACGTATGTTACGTGGATACGGTCACCTCGTATGCAACTTCCTTTCACGTGTGTTTCGGCAGTGTCTTATACGACGGTCGAGAGAGGGGGAGCGGTAACCATGGCTTGGTCACAGCGGAGCAGGGTAGGTGTTAGGGTAAACAACTTTACGCCGTGGCCTCGGGGTCGATGCGGCTTGGTTCGGGTCCGAATGCGCGGGGATCTTGCACGGCATTCCTCGAGACAGCTGAGGTGACCGATTACGATGGTCCGGTCGGGTCGTTGCGTTAGGAATGAAGTTTTTCCGCAGCGCCGGGATGATACAACCCCGTCCTTGTACCTGCACACAGGTCGGGTCGGAAGCTCGGCCCGACCCCTCCGACGATCAAGTTAGGTAATGTGGAGGGAGTTTTTTTGTGAAGAAGTGTCCCCCCCCTCGTTTAGAACTCGGGGGTATTTATAGGGCAGTTAAGTTTTACCTGACGTGTCTGCCTGCAGGAGGCAGGATCGTACCTCTGATGGCGTCTGACATTGCCATTGACGTTGCGTGGAGAACCGAACTGCCGCAGGGTATGGGCGTGCCTCGGTGGTCGTTCCCCTCTGCCCGGGTCGGACGCGTTGGGTCAGACAACGATGAAGTCGTTGTCTGAGAGCGGGTGACGTCAACGCACATCGCGTCGGTATTATTGCCCTCTTTCGAGCATAGTGTTGTCCAGTCATGGCTGACGTCGTAGCGCGTCATGTCGCCATTATTACCCTCATCAGTAGGGATGATGCTAACTTAATACCATGTTTGCCTCTTGTTGAGATAATTGATAATATGAGAAAAAAAATATGGTTAACTATTTCACAAGCAACTTTATCGTTTTATCGAGATTTATTCTATCGACTTATTCTCCTCATCGGTAAACTAAACAAAACCTTCTTTTGACTCTTCCATGGGATTGAAGCGGCAACCTTCTCCTTCCATTCTCTCTCTCTCTCTCTCTAACATCAATGACCGCTAGTTCTTGGTCTGACCTGTTCAGTAATATACATTTCTTAATATTAAGACAAGTCTAAAATGATGATTAGTTCTATCTTTGAGTAAGTAAAACCATCGTATCCTTAGACATTATCAGCAGAAAAATACTCTTTTTCGCTTCTTGTTTCCTTCAACTTAATCCTTCATTATTTGCATGTAGCGCCACGTAAAACATATTTTAGGGGCTGATGGAATCGATGAGAGATGTGACAATTAATGTTTTACGACCTCATTCTTAATATTAAGACTCGCTCGTCGTCTCTTTCTAAAGCATTTGATCGGCCATTATAGATGGAAAAGGTCTTCGACTAGTGATGAAACTTTCCAAAAGCCATACATCCACTTAGGAAAAAAAGAGAGGTAAAGAGATCGCATTGGAGCAATCATTGTTAGCTCTTCAACATCATGACACAAACAATACTATTCATCACAATTCCAACCACCCAACACAATTTATGCCTCCTGCTTGCTTCGTCAATCCACCACCACATAGCAACAACCTTAGTCTGTCTTCTATAACACCTTACAGCCACCCAACAATAATAATAGGACATGAGAGATTCCAAAGCCATGATCAGCTGTATAAAAAAGACAATGCATGATGAAGAAGAGAGAAGCGGAAGAAGCCAACGCAACATACTTGCAATAAAGACCCATAGAAGAAGCTCTTGAAGTTCAACACAAACTTCAGTTCGCCATCCAATAAAGAGCAAAGTCAATTTTGCATGGGAATAATGGCATCTGAATCAAACAAGGTCTTAGTCAAAGAAGTTAGGCTTAGATGGACATATTCATGTATGTGCATCAGATGAAAGGATCAAGAGAATAATCTCACATCGCGTATAACTCATAACATGAAAAC